TAAATCTTTAACAGTGTTTATGTACTGTGCAACGCATTATGTGTTTTGTTAAATGAGGAAGGTTGTGTTACCTGTTCTTCACGTGGAATGTGGCACAAAGTATTCTAACATCCGTTAAGCTATAAATCACGGGAAGAGATTTTTAATCTAAACATGTTTAAGTGTCTGACACGGAATTAGCACCAGGGAGCCGCTAATAGAAGACAATTTCTTAAATGGATCATAATCACGTTTACCATGTTCTTGCTGTTACACCGTCGTCAGTCGTTCGGAGTGGTCAGGTGTTTGTTTACAGTAAATGGGGGGGCTTATGTTCCGATGTTAGCACCATGGTCCGATGGGGATGGGGGAAGGGGTGGGGTATGTAGGGTGTGGCGAAGGTAGCGGAGGTGGGGTCAAGGATCGGGGTGTTTATGTTGGATGAGGAGGGGTGGTGTGGATAGGTGTAGGATAGTGTATGTGTCGGGATGGGGTTGGGGTGAGAGTGGTGTGTAGGATAGTGTACGTGTCGTGGTGGGGGTTGGGGTGAGAGTGGTGTGTAGGATAGTGTACGTGTCGGGATGGGGTTGGGGTGAGAGTGGCGTGTAGGATAGTGTACGTGTCGGGATGGGGTTGGGTGAGAGTGGTGTGTAGGATAGTGTACGTGTCGGGATGGGGTTGGGGTGAGAGTGGTGTGTAAGAAAGTGTACGTGTCGGGATGGGGTTGGGGTGAGAGTGGTGTGTAGGATAGTGTACGTGTCGGGATGGAAATGGGGTGAGAGTTGTGTGTAGGATAGGGTATGTGTCGGGATGGGTTGGGGTGAGAGTGGTGTGTAGGATAGTGTACGTGTCGGGATGGCGTTGGGGTGAGAGTGGTGTGTAGGATAGTGTACATGTCGGGGTGGGGTTTGGGTGAGAGTGGTGTGTAGGATAGTGTACGTGTCGGGATGGGGTTGGGGTGAGAGTGGTATGTAGGATTGTGTATGTGTCGGGTGGGGTTGGGGTGACAGTGGTGTGTAGGATAGTGTACGTGTCGGGGTGGGGTTGGGGTGAGAGTGGTGTGTAGGATAGTGTACGTGTCGGGATGGGGTTGGGGTGAGAGTGGTGTGTAGGATAGTGTACGTGTCGGGATGGGGTTGGGGTGAGAGTGGTGTGTAAGATAGTGTACGTGTCGGGATGGGTTTGGGGTGAGAGTGGTGTGTAGGATAGTGTACGTGTCGGGATGGGGTTGGGGTGAGAGTGGTGTGTAGGATAGTGTACGTGTCGGGTGGGGTTGGGGTGAGAGTGGTGTGTAGGATTGTGTATGTGTCGGGGTGGGGTTGGGGTGAGAGTGGTGTGTAGGATAGTGTACGTGTTGGGATGGGGTTGGGGTGAGAGTGGTGTGTAGGATAGTGTACGTGTCGGGGTGGGGTTGGGGTGAGAGTGGTGTGTATGATAGTGTACGTGTCGGGGTGTGGTTGGGGTTAGAGTGGTGTGTAGGATATTTTTTTTGTCGGGATGGGGTTGGGGTTGAGAGTGGTGTGTAGGATAGTGTACGTGTCGTGGTTGGGGTGAGAGTGGTGTGTAGGATAGTGCACGTGTCGGGATGGAAATGGGGTGAGAGTGGTGTGTAGGATAGGGTATGTGTCGGGATGGGTTGGGGTGAGAGTGGTGTGTAGGATAGTGTACGTGTTGGGATGGGGTTGGGGTGAGAGTGGTGTGTAGGATAGTGTACGTGTCGGGGTGGGGTTGGGGTGAGAGTGGTGTGTATGATAGTGTACGTGTCGGGGTGTGGTTGGGGTTAGAGTGGTGTGTAGGATAGTGTTTGTGTCGGGATGGGGTTGGGGTGAGAGTGGTGTGTAGGATAGTGTACGTGTCGTGGTTGGGGTGAGAGTGGTGTGTAGGATAGTGCACGTGTCGGGATGGAAATGGGGTGAGAGTGGTGTGTAGGATAGGGTATGTGTCGGGATGGGTTGGGGTGAGAGTGGTGTGTAGGATAGTGTACGTGTCGGGATGGGGTTGGGGTGAGAGTGGTGTGTAGGATAGTGTACGTGTCGGGTGGGGTTGGGGTGAGAGTGGTGTGTAGGATTGTGTATGTGTCGGGGTGGGGTTGGGGTGAGAGTGGTGTGTAGGATAGTGTACGTGTTGGGATGGGGTTGGGGTGAGAGTGGTGTGTAGGATAGTGTACGTGTCGGGGTGGGGTTGGGGTGAGAGTGGTGTGTATGATAGTGTACGTGTCGGGGTGTGGTTGGGGTTAGAGTGGTGTGTAGGATATTTTTTTTGTCGGGATGGGGTTGGGGTTGAGAGTGGTGTGTAGGATAGTGTACGTGTCGTGGTTGGGGTGAGAGTGGTGTGTAGGATAGTGCACGTGTCGGGATGGAAATGGGGTGAGAGTGGTGTGTAGGATAGGGTATGTGTCGGGATGGGTTGGGGTGAGAGTGGTGTGTAGGATAGTGTACGTGTTGGGATGGGGTTGGGGTGAGAGTGGTGTGTAGGATAGTGTACGTGTCGGGGTGGGGTTGGGGTGAGTGTGGTGTGTATGATAGTGTACGTGTCGGGGTGTGGTTGGGGTTAGAGTGGTGTGTAGGATAGTGTTTGTGTCGGGATGGGGTTGGGGTGAGAGTGGTGTGTAGGATAGTGTACGTGTCGTGGTTGGGGTGAGAGTGGTGTGTAGGATAGTGCACGTGTCGGGATGGAAATGGGGTGAGAGTGGTGTGTAGGATAGGGTATGTGTCGGGATGGGTTGGGGTGAGAGTGGTGTGTAGGATAGTGTACGTGTCGGGATGGCGTTGGGGTGAGAGTGGTGTGTAGGATAGTGTACGTGTCGGGTGGGGTTGGGGTGACAGTGGTGTGTAGGATAGTGTACGTGTCGGGGTGGGGTTGGGGTGAGAGTGGTATGTAGGATAGTGTATGTGTCGGGATGGGGTTGGTGTGAGAGTGGTGTGTAGGATAGTGTACGTGTCGGGGTGGGTTGGGGTGAGAGTGGTGTGTAGGATAGTGTACGTGTCGGGATGGGGTTGGGGTGAGAGTGGTGTGTAGGATAGTGTACGTGTCGGGATGGGGTTGGGGTGAGAGTGGTGTGTAGGATTGTGTATGTGTCGGGATGGGGTTGGGGTGACAGTGGTGTGTAGGATAGTGTACGTGTCGGGATGGGGTTGGGGTGAGAGTGGTGTGTAGGATAGTGTATGTGTCGGGATGGGGTTGGGATGAGAGTGGTGTGTAGGATAGTGTACGTGTCGGGGTGGGGTTGGGGTGAGAGTGGTGTGTAGGATAGTGTACGTGTCGGGATGGGGTTGGGGTGAGAGTGGTGTGTAAGATAGTGTACGTGTCGGGATGGGTTTGGGGTGAGAGTGGTGTGTAGGATAGTGTACGTGTCGGGATGGGGTTGGGGTGAGAGTGGTGTGTAGGATAGTGTACGTGTCGGGTGGGGTTGGGGTGAGAGTGGTGTGTATGATAGTGTATGTGTCGGGGTGGGGTTGGGGTGAGAGTGGTGTGTAGGATAGTGTACGTGTTGGGATGGGGTTGGGGTGAGAGTGGTGTGTAGGATAGTGTACGTGTCGGGGTGGGGTTGGGGTGAGAGTGGTGTGTATGATAGTGTACGTGTCGGGGTGTGGTTGGGGTTAGAGTGGTGTGTAGGATAGTGTTTGTGTCGGGGTGGGGTTGGGGTGAGAGTGGTGTGTAGGATAGTGTACGTGTCGTGGTTGGGGTGAGAGTGGTGTGTAGGATAGTGCACGTGTCGGGATGGAAATGGGGTGAGAGTGGTGTGTAGGATAGGGTATGTGTCGGGATGGGTTGGGGTGAGAGTGGTGTGTAGGATAGTGTACGTGTTGTGGGATGGCGTTAGGGTGAGAGTGGTGTGTAGGATAGTGTACGTGTTGGGATGGGGTTGGGGTGAGAGTGGTGTGTAGGATAGTGTACGTGTCGGGATGGGGTTGGGGTGAGAGTGGTGTGTAGGATTGTGTATGTGTCGGGATGGGGTTGGGGTGAGAGTGGTGTGTAGGATAGTGTACGTGTCGGGGTGAGGTTGGGGTGAGAGTGGTGTGTAGGATAGTGTATGTGTCGGGTGGGGTTGGGGTGAGAGTGGTGTGTAGGATAGTGTACGTGTCGGGGTGGGGTTGGGGTGAGAGTGGTGTGTAGGATAGTGTACGTGTCGGGATGGGGTTGGGGTGAGAGTGGTGTGTAGGATAGTGTACGTGTCGGGATGGGGTTGGGGTGAGAGTGGTGTGTAGGATAGTGTAAGTGTCGTGGTGGGGGTTGGTGTGAGAGTGGTGTGTAGGATAGTGTACGTGTCGTGGTTGGGGTTGGGGTGAGAGTGGTGTGTAGGATAGTGCACGTGTCGGGATGGGTTTGGGTGAGAGTGGTGTGTATGATAGTGTACGTGTCGGGATGGGGTTGGGGTGAGAGTGGTGTGTAGGATAGTGTATGTGTCGAGATGGGGTTGGAATCAGGGTGGTGTCTAGGATAGGCTCGGGGTGGGGTTATATGCAAGTTGTGGGTGTGTCTGTATGGTGATAAGGTAGAGGTTATGAGTGTAATAATAACAAGGGCTTCACAATTTATGCCACAGCGGGATTCGAACAAAGCCACGTGTTCAAGGAGCTACTCCTTAACACTAAGGCTCAATCAAATACAAAGAAACGACTACCGCCAAGTCTCCAGGACTAAGAATTCAGTTGTAGGGATCACATATCGTGTGACTTACACAATATTTATTCACTCCCTGACCTTCACGAGTCACTCCACGGTAAGACGTACATGCCTTATCTCCTTCACACACGCCTGTATTGTGTCCAGTTAGAAAAAAGGGTTTGTGTTTTCAAACACATGAAAACATATTCTTTGACTGACTCACCTGAAATAAAAATAAACTGATGGTTGTAACTGTGACTCCTGGCTTCTTATCGGAAGCGAAAGTTTACTTTGGGCTTTCGTTTTGTGAAGACAATACAGGTAAAGGATTTCCATCTTACTGGAAGCTTCATGATAACCACAGAATAACTGGTTGGTATTAATGACATGGGTATAATTGGAGAGTGTTCTTTATGGACGTTGACGTTGACGTGGACGTAGCCGTGGTTGTAGACGTGGTCGTGGACGTGGTCGTAGACGTGGGCGTGGGCGTGGGCGTGGGTGTGGGTGTGGGCGTGAACATGGGGGTAGACTTGGTCGTGTGGACGTTTTCATGGACGTGGTTGTAAGCGCAGGCGTGGATGTGGTCGTGATCGTGATCGTGTGTACGTAGTATTGCACGTGGACGTGTTCATGTGTACGTGGTCGTGGACGTGATCGAGGTCGTAGTCGTGGTCGTGGTCGTGGTCGTGGTCGTGGACGTGATCGAGGTCGTAGTCGTGGTCGTGGTCGTGGTCGTGGTCGTGGTCGTGGTCGTGGTCGTGTGTACGTAGTATTGCACGTGGACGTGTTCATGTATACGTGGTCGTGGACGTGGTCGTGGTCGTGGTCGTGGTCGTGGTCGTGGTCGTGGTCATTCATACAGTTGCGGCTGCGCCAACGGTTGTAGTTCATGTTGTGGCTACGTTTGTGGTTGCGGGTGTGTATTTAACATATTACCATTTTGCAACCGGTGGTCTACGTGAAAAAAACCAAATTAATTACTGAGTAACTAAAACACACAACCGAGACAATGTTTTTGAAACGGGACAGAAAACTGCACTTCTCATTACACAACGTAATACACTACACGTATGCATGAGTTATGAGTATGAGAGTGACCGAGACGTAAAGATTACAAAAGAAAACCTAGAACGCTCGCTTATCCTTGAGATCACTGGGGGCGCACCCCCGTCCCTCCTCCAACGCCCCTCCCTCTCTCCGTCCTCTTTTTGAATCATACTGAACATTTATAATAAACACATGCGGACATTTCAAAGATGTGTGGGTTTATTAAACGTGCACGCATCACGACGCTGTTAGTGACACATAAAGATCACTTAGCGTGATAATAACCCAGCTCTCAAAATACACCCCTCTTTTTCCAAAATTTCTGTATTACTGGGAAGGGGGAAATTGCAATATCACAAACGGAATAAGATCGTGTCGCGTAGACTAACATATAGTCTCTGAAATGAACATATCATACAGAAAAAACAGTTGTTCAGTTATCTTAATAAAAATCTAATAAAAAGGGAGCCCAGTGATTCTCTTCATTTTCAGATACTGCAGTAATCTAGACTTGCCAAACATTATAGACTTGCATGGGCTGTAGTTGATATAAATGTATCAGGGTCTGTAAGACAGACTACGGGTCGCGCAATGAATGAAGACATGGCTTTGTGAATGAACGTCCCTGGTGCTCTGACTGAGCGGTACTTGAGAGTCGGGGCGGCGGTGCAGCTGTAGTAGTAGGTGTCGATCAGCACGTCGAAGAGGGCAACTTTAACGTGTGCGGTCTTGGCAAGGAATCACAACCTATATGTCTCCAATATGTCCAATAACACGTAGGAGATAGATGGGGTTAGGAAAGATTTCGTTTGGCAGTGTAGTTTTACTATGGACAGCTTACTTAGCTCTCATATGCCCTGATATATCGAACACAACATGCCCTGGCATGATTTGATCAACATGCCCTGATACGACTTTATCAACATGCCCTGATATGACTTACACAGTATGCCCTGATATAACTAACAAAACATGCCCTGATACAACTTACACAGTATGCCCTGATATAACTAACAAAACATGCCCTGATATGACATACACAGTATGCCCTGATATAACTAACAAAACATGCCCTGATATGACTTACACAGTATGCCCTGATATAACTAACAAAACATGCCCTGATATGACTTACACAGTATGCCCTGATATAACTAACAAAACATGCCCTGATATGACTTACACAGTATGCCCTGATATAACTAACAAAACATGCCCTGATATGACTTGATCAACATGCCCTGATATGACTAACACTACATACCCTGATATGACTAACACTACACATCCTGATATGACTAACACTACATACCCTGATATGACTAACACTACCTGCCCTGATATGACTAACACTACACATCCTGATATGACTAACACTACCTGCCCTGATATGATTAACACTACATACCCTGATATGACTAACACAGCATACCCTGATATGACTAACACTACCTGCCCTGATATGACTAACACTACATGCCCTCATATGACTAACACTACATGCCCTGATATGGCTAACACTACATACCCTGATATGACTAACACTACATACCCTGATATGACTAACACTACATACCCTGATATGACTAACACTACATGCCCTGATATGACTAACACTACCTGCCCTGATATGACTAACACTGCCTACCCTGATATGACTAACACTACATACCCTGATATGACTAACACTACCTACCCTGATATGACTAACACTACCTGCCCTGATATGACTAACACTACCTGCCCTGATATGACTAACACTACCTACCCTGATATGACTAACACTACCTGCCCTGATATGACTCACACTGCCTGCCCTGATATGACTGACACTACATGCCCTGATATGACTAACACTACACACCCTGATATGACTAACACTACCTGCCCTGATATGACTAACACTGCCTACCCTGATATGACTGACACTACATACCCTGATATGACTAACACTAAATACCCTGATATGACTAACACTACCTGCCCTGATATGACTAACACTACATGCCCTGATATGACTAACACTACATGCCCTGATATGACTAACACTACATACCCTGATATGACTAACACAGCATACCCTGATATGACTAACACTACCTACCCTGATATGACTGACACTACATACCCTGATATAACTAATATTACATGTCCTGAAATGACTAACATAACATGAAGTTTTTGAAGGTTGAGTTTGAACCGTTTCTTAAAACCATGTACAAACCGTCCAGAGTTATACAGTGGCCGGGGTTGTTCTCATTGTCGTCGCTCACATATAGGTATTGTTATTTCTAGGCATCCATCATTGTGTATGCTTCTCCCAAGAGCCGACTACCAATTCGATTGCTGTTTACAATGTCTGACCAAGTTCATTTCGTGTTATCGCAGGCCTGGGTTGTCAAATCACCATAACAATATTAACACCACGTCGTGAAAGACGTCGTATATAAATAATTGCAATGAACGACGTAAAACAACATTCACTCACTTTGTCAAACCTACGTGCATATAAAAAAGTTATATAAAACCTTCTGCTACCGTAATAGTTTCTCATACTATCAGACCCGTGAAGATTCCGGGGAGGAATAGGTCTTCAGCAACCCATGCTTGCCGTAAAAGGCGACTATGCTTGTCGTAAAAGGCGACTAACGGGATCGGCTGGTCAGGCTCGCTGACTTGGTTGAAGCATGTCATCGATCGCAATTGCGTGGATCGATGCTCATGATATTAATCACTGGATTGTCTGGTCCAGACTCGATTATTTACAGACCGCCGTCATATAGCTGGAATATTGCTGAGTGCAGCGTTAAACATCAAACCAACCAAACAACCAATCTCATACTATCACATGGGTGATAGAGTGGAGGCAGTGGAACTAACCCAGGTACACTACAGCTGCATGCCGACTTTGTGCAAGTGACAGGGGAATTATTCAATGTTATAGGTTACGCGCGAGTAATAAAACCCTAATCCCCTTGTCAATACGATATCTTTATTGAATGAAATGCCACTTTAGATAAAATAAATTCATGTTTGTTATCATAAAGTATGTGCGAGTGTGTCAGTGTGTAAGTCGCGGCGCATTTGCAACACGCTTTGCATTGGCAGACTGTCATCTGAGTATGTCTATTTAATTTATCACTTGCGTCAAAGTGAAATTAACACATGCTCTTACAATTTATCTCGTTTTATGTGACACCTTATAGAAGGAATGTCGGACGCGAGTCTATCTGTCTGTCCGTCCGTCCGTGCGTCTGTCTATTTATTTGTTAATGGGGTAAAATAGGTCTTCAGCAACCCATGCTTGCCGTAAACGGCGAGTATGCTTCTCGTAAGAGGCGACTAACGGGATCAGGTGGTCAGGCTCACTGACTCGGTTGATGCATGTCATCGTGTCCCAATTGCGTGGATCGATGCTCATGATGTCAATCACTGGATTGTCTGGCCAAGACTTGATTATTTACAGATTATTTATGGTCACATAGCTGGAATATTGCTGACAACAACAAACAAACGAACACAATCATTAAAACTGGGCGCCCGGGATCGATACATAACACTGGTAGATTTTAATGGATCAGAAGACAGATGAATTGCAATTGCAATGCACCTTGTGCTAAAGGTCACATTACAGAGAGCGTTGTACTACATAACGTGCTGGGAAGTTCATTGCGACATTGCTGTCAAGGATTATCCTTGTTTAATCCCACATCCTGTTTAGGGGTGACTGTAAGCGCTGATACACCGGTGAGAATTCCAGACAGGCTGTGTAAACTCTGTCCCCAGGTTCTTGGAAAACGAACTTTGGGAAAGATACAAAGTCACAGTTGTTCTCATTGGCCGCTCTATCCAGTACGTGACAGTACACACGTGTATACGGAGTGACTACACAAAGGACAGTTCTACTTCATGGATCAAGGCTATGTTCTGCTTGAGAGTCAAAAGACGACAGAGTGGTTCGGAGAGTACGACAGTTGGCATAGTGTAAAATATGGAATGGAGTTGAGATTGGAATGCTGGAATGGAATTTTTCAATGTGAAAACATGGAATATACTCATCTCGCACTGAAAACAAACCCTGTGTTGTACATACCCTGATACTGCAGTAATCTAGACTTGCCAAACATTATAGACTTGCATGGGCTGTAGTTGATATAAATTATCAGGGTCTGTAAGACAGACTAATACCCTTGATACAACGTATATTGAATTCCCAGTTTGTAAACAGCTTTCTCCATTGCTGTAGAGACTTATGCAAGTCTTGTAACATTTGTGTTAATGATATTAGACATTATAGATATATTTTTGGATAATAATAAACATAATAAATATCAAAATAAACCAGAATATATTTTGTTCTTCACATGGTGTCCTGTTTGTCTCATTCCAATTCCATTCCAGTATTCCAATCCAAACTCCATTCCCAAATTTACACAATGCCGTTGAAGTTGAATGCCTTCTTGTTTGTTATTAATTA